GAGATCTCCTTGAGAACAGGGCCTTACCTTTCTATTGGTTTCTCCTGTGCTGTGCTTATAGTAAGTATTTGTTAAATGCTTTATCCATTCATTTATACTTCCATATCATGAATGATGTAAAGAATAGAATCTGAGGGGCATTGGACATGACTTGCATCAAATAGCATAATAAAAAAGAAGGAAATTGATTTTATATTAACTAATAGAAAATGAACAGGTAGCAGTGTGAGTGTCATGTTGGAATCTACTGTCCATCTGTAGTCATATCATTGGCTTATTAGAGCCAAGATTAAAAAAAAATAAATTAGGAGAAAGTATAAAAATAAAATGATGAAAAGAAGATTTAATGTAATTACATCTGACTCACTTAAGATGTTGACACCAAAAAATAGGAAATGGAAAATGCAACAACCATTGACACAAGATGTCAGCATTTTTCTATAGGTGTTTAATTAAGGTAAAGAAATCACCACAACTGGAAGACCAGAAGAGCTTTGAAACTACTTCAGCTATCAAATATCTTCCTCTTTTATCTTTTTGATGAATGGAATGACAATGAAGATAAATGTAATATAATTTTCAAATATAAAGTAATTTTAAAAAAAGCAAAGGAATATGGAGGATCATAAGCATCATATTAGTCCCTGATATACAGTTTAATAAAGTAGAAATGTCAAGTCACTAAATAAAATGAAGACCAAAAAAGAAGGCAGATGAGACCAAGTGTATAGAAAGGAATTCTTGCTGGATGTGCACAATTGGGAATATTTTAAGAGACCAATTCTCCAAATAAATGAAAGGGAAGGACATTGAATAATTGAAAAAAAAAAGCGTTTTCAAAAGGTTATCAAGATGATCTTCTTAATTATTGACCTAGATTCCTACATTCTCATCTCTAACATTAGAATTTTTCTGATGATTCTGAATTGCTACAAATTATAGAATAATACTTTTCAAAGATTATTTTTGTCACCCAGAGGGCACTAGAGGCTTTCATAGAGGGAATTAATAGGCTGCAACATATTACCAACCAAGAATTTCATGGAAAGAGTTGCATACAAAATATCAACCTAGAGATGTAGGACCAGAAGGGGGGATGAACTAGAGTGGGAGGGCTAATCAAGTTTCATTGGCTGCCATGGTAAGCCAACAGGCATAGAAGAAGGTCTCTGATCCATTGCCTGGAAGCCAACCAAAGGATATGGACAAAAGTCCAAGATTAGAAGTTCTGGATGGTTCATGGTAAGCTCAAAGACCCACTGCAGGGATTTCATAGTCATAATATGCTGAAGACAATTAGTTATCAACACTAAGATTTACAGCTGGCAGGGAACATCTGATACTCTTCCCTCATTTTACAAAAGAGGAAACTAATGTCCAGAGAGTGACTTGACCAAGATCACAGTAGTGGTAAGTGGCAAAGACAAGATTTGACCCAATTCCTCTGATTCCAGATCTGGGGTTTTTAGTACTGCACCATTTTTAAGGACCAAGGGATTGAGTCCATAGGAAATGTCAAGATTATAGAAGTCATCTGGGGGAACTAAGGGAATTAGCTCAATTTAGAGGAAGAGGAAATTCTAGGAAAGGATAAAGCAATGGAATATTTAGTGACAAAAGAACTGCCGTAGGCATAGACAGCCAATAAAGGAGAGAAATTTTGACAAGTAAAAGGTGAGGAATTGTGTGAGAAACATGCTCATTTTTTAGACTATGCTATTTGTACTCTTTGACCCTGTGATCTCACTAATACAGGGGTAGAATGGTTGTATACATGGTCAAATGTGGTTACTGTAGTCTTTTTTGTTCTATTAGAAGGGATGGTTTAATTGAGAAGGAAGGTATATTGAGAAATAACCATGGTGTAAAAAACAAACAAAAAAGGAAAACAAAGTCATGTATATCCCAAGGAAGTCAAAGACAGAAACAAAGATGAAATATAAACCAAATATTCAGGGCAACATTGCTTTGTGGAAATTATACAGAGGGTGGACTGAGAGAAATAAGAAGATCCGTATGAACTGATGCATAATGAAATAAGCAGAACCAGGACAATAATCCATAATAGCTATAATGATATAACATTTATATAGTGCTTACTGCGTGTCAGGCACTGTGCTAACACTTTGAAATTATTAACTCATTTGATCCTCACAACAACCCTGGGAAATAGGTGCTATTAGTATTTTCATTTTACAGATGAGTAAATTGAGGCAAACAGATTAAGCGACTTACACAGGATCACACAGCTGGTGTTTGAGGTCAATTTGAACTCAGATCTTTTCTATTCACTCTAGTGCCCCTCATTACAATATCAATAAAAACAACACTAAAATAAGCTAAACTCTGAGCTACTGAAGAAACAGTTACCATTTTCCAGAGAATAGGTAATGAAACATCCTCTCAGCAAAGGGCAGAATGTTGTATAGCTCATCAGAAAATGCTATTTTATTGGTTGTTTGTACATAACTGTTTTTGTTTCTTAGAATAGAGTGAGAGGATGGCTAGGGAGGAGCATATCTACAAATGGCCATAACATAAAAATGAAATGTCATCAGTAATTTTTCTTTTTAAGTAATGAGTGTATCTAATGCACCAGAGAGGCAGAATTGGGGTTAATGAGTAAAAGCAACTGATTTGGGGCAAGCAGGTCAATGCAAAGAATGGTTTTGGTAACAGATTGAAAGGAGAAGTAAATTACACAGACTTTTGGGAGGAATAGAAACAGAGGAAGTAGAGGCATAGGTGAAGGAAGCCCACTGTTGGACAAATTTGGCAGCCAAAGGAAGTAGACCATGAATTTTTCTGCCCAACTTCCAATGGTCTTTATAGTATGGACCCACCGGGACTCCTTACCTGCCCTTATTTTCCACCACCCTCTAACAGAAACTCCCCAATCCTGTGAAGCTTGATATTTCACAATATACTGTTTGATTTCCTGCCTCTTTGTCTTTGTTGATGTTAATTCACCTTTCCCTTCCTCTGTCATTGTTCAGACCCTGACCCTCTTTCATAACTACCTTGGGTATCACATGCCCTGTGAAGCCTTCCTGAGGACTCCAATCCACCTCGATCTTCCTCTTTGGGCTGCTTTGCTGTTCCTAGGCTGTTTCACAAAGTTATCACTTAATTATGCCTGGACTTGCTGCTTCATGGGTGTTATTATCGTCACCTGAGCAACTTTGATGCTAGGAACCATGGGGTCATATAGCTCTCAAATGATCAGTGATAGCCAGTGCTGTGCTGGACCTAACATAGGGAGTGCTTACAGATCAAGGGCTTATCAGAACCAATGAACTGGCTGATTTCTATCAAGCCTAGGAACACGTTGTTATGCATAGTAGCATCCAAATGAAGGGATAATTATATGCAAATTAATGTGACATGATTGATTAAATTAATCTGTTTTAAACACTTTGGCAAAGGACTAGTTTTCTATATATATTCTCGACATTTAATATGAAAGGCTTGGAAATAAACTCCCCAGTTGGGATGGCTCATGTGCTTGACTTAGATTATTGCGTAGTTAACAGAAAAGGCAGCCGGATGTCGCAGCTGTACCAGGGGAGTGTCATCATTTTTGTGTCACTCATCCCTTTGGAAGTCTGATGAAACTTATGGAACCCTTTCTCATAATCATATTTTTGAATGTTAAAAATAAAATACATGAGAATACAAGGAAAGCCAATGACACTGAAGTACAGATATCAAAATAGTATAAATCAAAACAAAATGAAGGTCAGAGACCCTAGATTAAGACCCCCTTACTATACGTTTTAAGCCTCGGAATTAGGAAGACCTGGGTTCGAGTCCTATTTCTTATACAATCTGTGCTGTGGAGCAAAGGCAAAGTACTTAATCTCCTAATGACCCAAGGATTCTGAAGACTCCAAGCTGCAGATGAGTTGTCAAGTTATTTCCTTGGAGGAAGTTTCCATGGGAGTACTATACACTCATGAAATCACAGGTCCGGGACAGCTCACCTATCTATCCGTCCCTACCCCCCATAAAAAAAAGAAAGGAAAGATACACTTTTTATTATTAACTTAGTTCTCAAGTCATAGTTAAGTGAAAGGTAGTGAGAACCTCCTGAGAAATGATTATTTCAAGTCAATGGACCCTCCATTCTCCACATCATGGTTTTACAAGGATTTATAGATCCTGGGTTTGCTACGGAGTTACTTCATTTTTCTATGATGCATTACAACCAACCTCGAGGTTCAGGAATTCCTTGATCATGGCTAGATCTGATTGCTGTTCTGCACAGGAATTCTTTATAGAATTCCAGAACATAAGTTAGAAATTGACTTAGAGAATCCAATAAACTTAGAAGCTTTGGCTGACTTCCAAGCTAAATTTATAGACTGGAAAAAATATGGCCTTCCCATTGTCTTTTTTTTTCTTTTTTATCCCCTTCAGGATAGTCTTGTGCTTGTGTGTGTGTGTGTGTGTGTACGTGCGTGTGTATGCATGCACACGCATATACAGATTTATGATTTTGCCTGACACTGGGTGTGGGAATTAAATTTTCATTGTGTGGAGATCTGTTGAGGGTGTCTGAGCTTCAGCATTTGTCAATGTGGCTCAATGCTTCTGGGACTCCGTCTTCCACCAAGAATGGATTTCTTCTCTTCCTCCTCCCAGAAGAATTCAGGGCCTGGATGTAATGAGATATGAAGTCTTTTTCCTAAGTGAGCCCGTTTAGTTCAGTGGCTGGGGTGCTTAGTGACCAGCTGGGTTCAAGCCCCTGAAAGCCTCTAGTTCCATCCAGGCTCCAATTGGGCCTCCTCTTTGAGACATGAGATATGTGGCTTTAATCAGATGTTTTATTTCTGCTAATTCTCTGAAAGGCTAATTGGGGCAGAAAACAAACTTAGAAGCCTCTAATAGGTTCCAATCCTGTTTGCCGGCTGCTCTGTATTACATGAAGAGACAAGGGTTCTTTTTTTTTTTCTTTTCTTTCCCTATCTGATAATTGAAAACCTATCTTGTTCTTACAGAATGGGTTTGCTGTTGTAAGGCCCCCAGGCCATCATGCTGAAGAGTCAACAGCCATGTAAGTACCAGGGAAGACTGGCTATCCTGGAGCACTGGGGTTACTGGCAGTCACCTGCCCCATGCACGTCTCCGAAACCCTCTAATTGTTAGCAGATGCCTGCAGAGGCTCGCGAGGTCCTCCCAGAAGCAGATTTATGGCTTTGGAGATCATATAGCATTTTGAGAAATGCCCTGAATGTTATTTATAATGGTTTTTTTCCTGGCTGATTTGCTTTCTGATTTCTCTGTTCTTCTTTATTCTGCAGGGGGTTCTGCTTTTTTAATTCGGTGGCAATTACCGCCAAATACTTGCGCGAGCAGCTCAAAGTAGGCAAGATATTGATTGTAGACCTGGTAGGTATCCTGGGCAAACTCTGTCTTCTTGTTCTCATAGGTGAGAGAGAGTGGGTCTGTTTCCCCATGTCCAGCTGCCTTGCCTTCTAAATAATCCAGGAGTGTGTGGACTCCCAAACCAACGTGGAAACTCATTAAATCCGGCCTGGACATTCTGAAACCATAAACATGAAGCTTTCACTTTCACAGCATTAACAGAGATTTAATGAGAAGAAGCCACAGCTCGGGGCAGCCTTTTTATGGTCCTTAAATGAATTGATACTTCCAGTGTTGAAATAACCCAACAGAACCTGAGTTTACTTTCCCCCGTAGAATAGGGGCCCTAACGAGTCCGATGGGCTGGAAAGAATGCTGTTGCTGTGGTTACCAAATTGGCTACTTCCCCTGCCTCACATCCCTTGGCTTGCTGCACAGCACTGGGACCATTCAAACAAACCCGCTTGTCATTCTCCAGGCTTGGATGCCAGGGTGGGATGTCTCTCTGCACAAAAGCAGGACGATTAAAAGTCAGCAGCACTGGCCTGGGCCTCCACAACGCTAAGCTGCATTCTTGCACAATGGAGTTATAATTTGCTTAACAAATGGTTTGTTTAAATGCGGGTGACATTTGGCATGTCGTCCATAGTGTGTGCATGAATAAGGGATTGGAGCTTTGCCTCCCCCAAAAAGGACCAGCTCGGTGCACGGGCCCAAGGAGAGTGGGAGGGTGATTTATGAGGCCCATGCTGGCTGGGCCGACAGTTCAGGAGAGAGGTGTAATAGGTTGTCTGACAAAGCATAGACAGGAAATGAACCCTGGCATCAAACCCTAACCCGGGGCATCTGCACTTAATTAATTTCTGCAGGTGATAAAAGATTTAAAGACAAAATATGTTAAAGGGTTTTTTTTTTTGAAGTGCATGGCTTAATAGTCTAAATCTTGTTCATATCTGCACTCATAATTAAATCTTATTGGGAAGTCATGGCCTTACCATCTAGCACTTTGGTTCAGTTAAGGAAACACAACAGAAATTGAAAGAGAGAATGAATGGAGATGGGAAAGGGGAGAGAAGGAGAAAGAGATAGAAAGAGAGAAAAGTTGAAGTGAAAAGAAAAAATAGGAGTAAAGAAAAGAGGAAAAGAAAGAGGAAGAAAAGATGAGATGGAGAAAGAAAAAGAAAGAAAATAAACATAACAGAAAAGAAAGAAGAAAGGTAAGAAAAATGAAATAAAAGAGGAAAAGACAAAAAGAGAAAATAGAGAAAAAGAAAAGAAGAATGAAAAGAAAAAAGAGAAAGAAAAAGAAAGAATGAAAAAGCCATAAAGAAAAAATATATATAATGAAAGGGAGAAAGAAAAGAAAAGAAAGAGAAGAGTAAAAGAAAAAAGTGAAAAGTATGAAAAATGAAAGAATAAAAGGAAGAGACAGATAGAATGAATAAAGAGGGGGAAATGAAGAAGAATAAGAGAGAAAAAGAAAAAAACGTGAAAATTTCTAAAAGAAAATAAAGAGGAGAAACAAAAAAGAGGAAGAATAAAGAAAACAGAAAATTAAAAAGGAGAGAAGGAAAAGGATGAATGAAGGATAAGGAAGGAAAAATGAGAGAAAGAGGGAAAGAAAAACACACAGAAGGCAAGAAAGAAGCAAATTAAGAAAGAAATCAAGCAAGAAATATGAGGCAAGAAAGAATGAAAGAGAAAGAAAGGAAGATAAGGAGAGGAGATCAAAGAAGGAAGGAAAGAAGAAAAGAAAGGAAAAAGAAAGGAAAAGGAGAGAGGGAAAGGAAAGAAAAATGAGAAGGAAAGAAAAAAAGAATAGAAAGAAAAAGGATTGGGAAGTAAGGATGAATAAACAGTATCATGTAAAGAAATATATATTTGTTGTGTTGAGAGCCATAAATTTATCATGAAATGTGTGTATATATACATATATAGTTAAAATTTTAAATGAAGGTAAATTATAAAAAATAATTTTCAGTTGTTTGCTAGGATAGATTTTAAAATATATGTATTATACATGTATGTATGTATATGTATATATGCACATCTCATATATATGTAGAAACACAGTATACTTTACCTGTTTTACAAAACATCGATGAAGACCATATTCTGATCACTTTTTCATTGATATTTTACTGACATTCTTCTACTCAATTGCAACCCAGAGCTCGCCTTTAATGAAAACAAAGTTGGCAAATGCCATGTGATACCATAAAAAAAAAATCCCTGAGACGAGGAAGTCCGTATTTGTTTTCCCAGGCACATTAAAAAAATTCATCTCCCCTCCCCCTCCCACTTAATAAAAACACAGTAAACTTGTTGAAGTTTTTAAAGATACAACGTAATTACTGTGTTGCCATGGTGGCTGTTTTTATTAAAAGATTAAGTTTCAACAATCTGCTAGAATGTAGGATTAGACTGAATTTCTTTCCCTCTCACAGCCTTGCTGTAGCAGAAGCACACATTTATTTATTTAGATGCATGTATGTGTGTATATGTATACATTACATATAAGCATGTGTATATATACAAATATATGTATATTTCTGTGCATATATGCACATGCCATAAATTATAAGAAAAGACGGGGGAACGTGTGGAAGACTAGAAATTCCAAATCCCCATTTCTTGTTTATTAAACTTGAACATCCTGGGGTTCTTGACTGCAGTAGAGAGCAGATTTTGCAGTCCTTCTAGATCTTTTCAGGTTTAAGAGGGACGTAATCAATCATTGCTCAGAGGCGCCTTTGATAGAGGAATGCCTGATATCCAGATGCTGAAACCTTGAAATATAGGCTGAACTTGACAGCTACTCATTTAAACTTGAGTTAGTTCATGACTGTGTTTTTCATAGTTAAGAGGGATATTTGTGATTTCCCCCCTTCATTTTAGTTTTGTCAGTTAATGCAAAGAGAGAAATGGTCCTGGTTAGGGAGTTGGGATGCAGATCTGATACAGTTTATAAAATGGATGTACCAGGGAGCTCTGATGGAAATCTTATAGAGACCTATATTTTTCCTCATTCCCATCTGAGAACATGATTTTCCCAGCAAGCATAGATTGGAGGTATCTATTGCACACTGTCTAAATACCCTAAGTTCTGTTCAAGTGGACTGCCTTGGAGATTGCTGGCCACATACACTTTAGTGTTATCCTAAACACTGCAGCTGCAGAGGCTATTTTTGAGAGAACAATCTGTTTCTTCCAGCTGCTGGGGGAGGAATTTTGAAAGTGCCGCGTGGCCTAGAGACATCCCTTTTCTCTCTGCCTGAAAGATCTATTCTACAATTTTGCAAGGGAGAAAAAAGGTGCCACTTATCCGGCCCAGGATGAATCTTGCCCTTTCAAACCTCAAAAGGACATTAGCTGGGAGATATGTCTTTTCTTTGGATGGTATTAGCTTGACCGTATGCTCAATTCTTTTAGAGGGGGCTGCTTCCATTTTGCATCTTTGGTGGGGAGCTTGAATTCTGATTCTGTCCCCTTCTCAGGAGCACAGGGAAATTCAGAATATGTTGGTGGTTCAGTCAGAATTAGTTTCCATGCTATAGAGAGTTTATTCATCTCTTTTCCCAGAAGAGTCCAGTTACCTTTAGCATCCTTGATAATGGCTAAGGTTCCTTCCTGCTCTAGAACCTATAAGATAATTAGATGGAGGTAGATGGTAGTAGGTTATTTCTACAACCCATCTTGCTAGTTTTTTTTCAAATTATGGTTTATTCATTTTGTGAGACTAACCCACACTTGTGCCATGATCTCCTTCCCTGCCTGAACCTCCCAAACTATGGGCAATCTCTACCTTTCAGGATCTTACATTCTATTGGGAGGAGGCAAAATATATGCAATTGAGCATATGCAGAGTTTTACAAAATAAATGCAAGGTAGATTTTTGGAGGAGCATTGGAACAATTAGGAAAGTCTTTCAAAGAGAAGGTGATGCTCGATCTCTGTCTTGAAGGAAATAAGGAGTGAGTACATGTTAGCCATGGGGTTCAACCAGTTCAAAGGCAAAGAGATGTGAGATGGATTGTCATGTGTGTGGAACAAGAATACCATTTTGGGTTTGCTGTAGAGTGTAGATTATGGAAGAGCAAGAGGAAATGTGGAAGCATAACTGGCTAGCAATGGTCTCTCTGAGACTTTATCCTCAGATTCAACATAACCAGCTTCTCTAAGCTCTTCATTACTCTTTCTAGTTGTCTGATGTTTGGAATGTCTGTGTTCTATCACTTCCAAATTCAGGGAAGCTGAGTTCCTCATGGTGGACTTGGTATTTTGCATATAGTGATGGGAAACTAAGCCTAATCTCTCCCATACCTTGATTCAGGCATCAGAGACACAGAAAATAACTCTCTATGAGGTCATGAGTGTTTGGCCACCATCTTTGACTTCATAATTGAGGAGCAGTTTTCAGCAGGTGGACACAAATATGAAAGAGTGTGGTTTGGCTAGTGGTTGCATAGGGGTATGGAGGACAAGAAAATGGGTGGTGAAAAAGAGGAACTCTGTCAGAGCCTCCATTGCTGAACAATATTTATAGCATTCTGTCATAGATGGCATGGGCCACCACAGAATTCCAAAACCCAGGGTTGGGTTGATAGTCTCTTTAATTTTGAGGAATCTTTTTTTTTCCCCCAGTGAAATGTGGAGACATTTTTTCATTGTTTTCAAACTCCTATTCCATTATATATTTGAGACTTAGAAAAAAAATGACACAGATTGTTGTATCTTCCTTCCAATCCCTTATACTTTACCATTTGAATACAGTTTACCATTTAACAAGCTCTGATGGATTGACCTATCTAATTCAATAAATGTAATTTATTTTTTTTCTCTTCCTTAGTCAAGAAAAAAATCCCTTACTTCTCTGAACACTCCTCATCTAAGTCCTCCACATGCATCTAATTAGTCATTATGGGAAACAAGATTGGTATACAGAAGGTGAAAAAAATCACTAAGATTCATATTCCCCTTTTTCATTCTTAAAACATAATAGATTTAGCTTCTTCCTTAACTTT